CTTCATTTGACTAAAGGAAGTTGAAAATTAAGGAAGCATACAGCTACTGTATAAGTATACTAGTCCCTTAGTATTAGTTCCAGGACATCCCTTGAATATCAAAACCCAAGGATGCTCAAGCCCCTTATATAAAAAGGTACATCCAGGCATGGTGGCACATCTTGTAATCCCAGTAGCTCAGGAGGCTGAGGCAGGAGGATCCTGAATTCAAAGTCAGTCTCAGCAACTTAGAGAGACCCTGTCTCTAGATTTAAAAGAGTTGTGGATATGACTAGTGGTTAAGCACCCCTGGTACACCCTCACTCCCCATAAAAGGGTGTTGAATTTCCATATATCCTATGCACATGTTCCCATATATCATCTCTAGATTATTTACAGCACCCAATCCAATGTAAATAGTTGTTTAAGGAATAATGACAAGGAAAAATATAGATGTTTAGTACAGATGCAAGCAACACAACCCTAACTGCATTTTCAATCTGTGGTTTATAAAAATCCTTGGATGTGGAACCTATATATATGGAAGTACCAACTGTACTAATTCTAGGTATTATAATGAAATCCTCAAAATAAATGTTTTTATTGTTATCTTACAAACCTTAAGACGTAGGAATTACTTACCTTCAAAAAGACTATCTCTATGACAAGAGTATTTTATTTATGAAGAGTTACCTCGAAAAATTATAAAGTCGGGGATATGACTTACTCCACTTAGCTGCAATGTCTCCACCTTTAGTGATATGCCACTCAAACACAGCTTTTACTTTCTTTACCACCTCACGCCCAACTTCCTTAAGACGCCGACCTATTTCCTCAAACACAAGAGTACTTTGAAGCTCGCCACCCTAACAAAAGGAGAAAATTTATTTTAAAAGTTCTGTAAAAATAACAAACACAAAAATTATTACAAATATGTGTGGTATAAAATTGATTTTAAAAACTGCAGGTAAAACAATTTTTTTTTTCATAGTAGGCTTCTTTGACACACATGTCACCCAAAACCCTAGTTCTTTTAACAAGATTCTAATTTTATCAGCATTCAAACATAATATTTTTAAAGAAAACTAGGAACTGGATGATATATGTCCAATTGTCCAGAAAAGCAATCAACTTCTGTGGTCTGATCTTTATAAAATGGGACTAAATTACATGATGACTAAACTCAGAAGCTCTAAAGATTCTGAGATTTGTTTTAGGCACCAGGTATTGAACCCAGGAGCGCTTAACCACCAAGTCATTTCCCCAGCTCTTTTTTATTAGATAGGGTCTTGCTGACTTGCTTAGGGCCTTGCTAAGCTGCTGAGATTGGATTTGAACTCTTAATCCTCCTGCCTCAGCCTCCTGAGTCACTGGGATCACAGGCGTGTGCCATCACACCCAGCTTCATAAGTTTTTGATCTTGGATAATTCCTGAGATTTTAATTTTCAGTCAGTTTATGACAAAAAAATTAAAGATTATAGTATATAAAAATCTCAATATTATCAAATTAATATTTTGGATACAAAATATAAGTATTTTTATCAAATCTCAGCGTGTTGAGAGAATACAAATGTTTTAATTAAAAAATGTTATTTTCATACCTGCATACAAATAAAAAAATACATATTTTTCTCAAACAACTAATTTGTTAACTAAGAAAATTATCTTGAAAGATAACAATAACCTACAAACAAAAATGTTTTTAAAAATTTGTAAGTTACCAAAATATTCCTTATTCCAGGTTTGAATTGGTATCCTTTAATAATTATCTTTTTATACCTCTTAATTTTCTAAAATACACTGAACATTCTTAAGTTAATCTTAACCAAAATTCATAAATAAGTCAGTGATTTATATACCAGTTTTTATAACCTACCTCAGAGGGTATCTTGGCTGAAATATCTAATTTGGGCACAAGATCCACATATGCATTTGAAATGACAATGTCTCCAGTTTCTTGGACCTTATAAGGGTAAAAAACAAACAGGACAGGAGGAAGTTCATTCCACTGATTTCGATGCAAATAAAATTTCATTTTAAAATGCTATATGTCATTTAAAAGAAATTTGTAATTTTGTTTCATGTGATAAAAATTAATAAATGACAAGATGAATAAATCTGAAGTTCTTCTGATTTTAATAAATTGTTATTAACGCTGCTGTGGAGACCTTTAAAAAAAACAACTATAAACAGGTCCCATCCCCCAAACTACCAATTTAAATTGGTTTGGAGTTCAGCCTGGAAGTTGGTATTTTGAGATTTATTTTCCCCCGGAACACATGGAAAGCCGAAGTAAAAAGTGCCAAATTCCTGAAGAGTAAAAGACAGAGTACAATGTCCACATACAGTATACTCAGAGTACATCTGTTCTGTTAATATGGAATAAAAATAGCTAGAAACAGATCATAGTGGTCTTTTTAAAAGTATTAATTCTAGTTTGAACTTTTAGATAACAAGTACACACAGCATAAACTAAACGTCTAGCCTTTTGCCAAAACAGTCATTAAAGGAATTTTAATTCTTCCTTTCAAATTATTCCAATGGCTATTTCACAGAAATTACCCTATCCCTTTGTATCAATACCAATAAGTTTAAGGAAGCACTTATTAAAACTTCGATTTTTAACAATCAAGAACTATGTAATATTTTGAACTAATAATAAAAAAAAAGAATTGTAATGCAAAAAAACCCAAAGTACATGTATAAAGGCATAAATTGGCATGAACATAGTTTATATACAGAGATATGAAAAATTGTGCTCTATATGTGTAATATGAATTGTAATGCATTCCCTGCTGCCGTGTATTTAAAAAAAAAATTTTTAAAAAAGCTCATTTTCTCTTAATTACTTCCCTTCATACTTTAGAGAAAAAAATAATTTTGTTCATTCTACTTCAAATTAAATATAGTGAAAAGTACGAAAAATGAACAAAATGCGTATTAGTAAAGTACTTTCTCAAACAAGTCAAGCACAGCACTTTAAAACATTGGTTTAAATGTAACAGGAAGGAAGGAGTCTTATATATATTAGTAATAAAAAGAGTATCTCTAATCACTATGGGGAAAATAACAAATATACTGAAAGGATAAGAAGGCATGCTTAAAACTGCAAGAATGACTTCTTGGTCTGTTAAGTTTTTATTCACAGAAATGTATGTACTGTTCACTGCTAGCACTGTTTGATGATACAGTCATGGTTCTCAACACTTTAGTTCATAACCTTATCTGAAAAATTAAACTTACACAAAACAATTGGAGAACAAGAGGGCTCTAGAATATGTGGCACAGATAGTAACTGTGTGTACATATGGGTTGGAAAGGGGGGAAGAGTAAGAGACTTCCTCTAAGAGTAAGGCACAACTTGAAGTCCTTAAAACAGGAAGAATTTGAAAAGAATATATGCATAGATTAGGCAGGAAAACAGTATAAGCATCAGGAAGAAATTAGGACTAAAGCAATCATATAAGCAAAATTTTTCAAAGTTATCAATTTGAATATTAAAAAAAGACAGTTAAAAGAGGGTGCTTGTTCTTCCTAGAGTCAGGCTGACCTGGGTTTATACCTCAGCTCAACCACTTACTATGTGGCCATGAGCAAACTATGACATCAAGATTTTCTTAAGAACCTAGATTCTCTTGTATTTCAATACAGAGTTGTAATGCATTTTAAAGTTTATAGTACAGCCTATTTACAGTTAAGAGAGTTGTTAAACCTGCTCTATGTAGTACAAAATGACCAGACAGTCTGGGGGTTTTGTTTTTGCTTTGTGGTAATAGGAATCAAATCCAGGGCCTTGCACATGTTAGGCAAACGCTCTACCACTAAGCTAAATCCTCAGCTTTTTTTTTTCTTTTTTTGAGACGGGGTTCTTAGTATTTCCCTAGGCTAGCCTCAAACTTGTAATCTTCTGCCTCAGTCTCCCAAGTAGCTAGAATTACAGATGTGCATCATCACACCTGCATAATTTTTTTTTAAATCTCACAAATAAAACAGTGATTGCATGTCCTTTTTCTCTTTTAGTGGAACATTGCTAATTCCAAAATTAACTCTATAGGGAGATATACCATTATTTGCTTTGTTATGTATTAAACGATTAAGCTCAGGTTTTCCAATTATGCAAACATAGTAAGTATTCAAATATTCTTTCAAAGTTACCATAAGTGATGTTATTTGTTACTCAATATTAAGTTTTTATAGGTGTTCCACATCTGGGACTAAATGAATTCATTAGGCCCAGACTACATTGCAATGTGTGAATTTTTGTATAATCAAGATATATGATTTCTGTCCAGATAAAAAAACAGAATCTTATTGTTCTGTAGGAAATTAGTTTTGTCTCTATCTCAGCAAAATTATTTTTGAACTAAAATAAAGTGAATCAAATTCCATGTATAACTACAATGCTAAAAAAAATCAGATACTATTGATAAAAATATCTGTTTTTTCTCACATCCATACTACTAACAACAACAACAAAAGCTATCAGGAGCAAAGTACCTTTATTATTCATACCTTAGTTTGAAAATGAATCCTGTTTCCTTCCTTCCACATTTCAGTTTGTAGAGTTTGTCCCGGATATACTGGTTTTGCAAAACGAGTCTTTTAGGGAGGGGGGAAAGAAAGTGGGGGTTAAAAGTCCTTCTAAAATAAAACTATTATACTAGGGAGGGAAAACTAGGGTGGTTAGAGAGCATAAAGAAAATAGAGGCTTAAAAATATTTAGACTCAAACTATCAACAAATTAGTAGAGAAATACTATAGATACTGCATTAATAAGCTAAAATTCTTTCAAATACTGAATCGATTTGAATCAAGATACTACGAAGTATCTTGACAAATCAAGAAACAAAACAATCATTAGGTGAGTTACATACATAACAACCACAGGTACTTAAAGAGTTAAACATGGTCTAAGTCAGGGTATAAGGCCTGACTGGTATATAAAGCAAAGTAATTCTTACTAGTTCATAATTTTCTATATTATTTCATTGAATCTGTACACTATTAGATAATTAAACATAGCGATACTAAAGAGCATGAAAACAATGTTATCAAGGGCAAGACATCAGAAAATGCATTTTCACTACTGCATGGGGTATAAACTAATAAAATATTTAAGGCAATATCGAGTACCTTCAAAAACTTTTAAGTATACATCTTTTGACTTTATGCAAAAATACTGAGAGCACGGATATTTTCTCTTATTTAAAATGGATAAACATTTGAAAAGTATAAAAACTAAAAATAATATGCAGCCATCACAATACAGAAAGCATGTTTATTAGAGTTCAAATACAGCTACTTTACATTTTCTGTTAAATTAACGCAAATTACAAAACAGAAAAATGAATCTTTTTAAAACAGATGCTGATATCTATTATACACCTAATTTATAAAATAATCCAATTAATGTTACTTTATATATAGAGATATGAAAAATGGTGTTCATATGTGTAATAAGAATTGTGATGCATTCCACTGTCATGTATTTAAAAAAATAAAAGCAATTAAAAAAAAAAAACACCAAAAACCATATAGGATATCCTTTGTGGTGCATGGGTAAAACAGCTATTTATAGCTACAAAAGGAAAATGTGCAGACTACCAACTCAATGAAATAATTAAAATGTCTATTGTTGCAATATAGTACTTATTTTAAACACTAAACTTCTTTAATCATAGAAAATAAAGAACTAATATTCAAATTACATAATAATGTTCATATACCTTAATTGCCTTGAACCTTGAGACATCATTATCCGCAAACTGCCGTAAAACATGCCTGGCAGAAAATCCAAAGGTACATAATCCGTGTAATATGGGCTTCTCAAAGCCTAAAAAAAAAAAATACAGAATTTAGGTGGATATAGAAAATGTTAAAAAGAAAACAAGTACCAAGTTAATTCAGGATTTTTAAAATAGTTTTTAAATTAGCCTGAACTATACCATCTATTTTAAGAAACATAAAAAATATTTTTTGCAAATAATGGTTTCTCATAGAAAATCATGAAATTAATAAAGAAGAAAAGGATGTGAGATCTGGGGGGAAAAAAGAATTATTAGTTTTAATTGTGACATGAAATCACCCATGATGATCTATTTCAAAATCTGTGTACACACACTGTTGATTCCTCCCTGTCATTGCTCTCTTCTAAGAAATATCCTTGTCCTTTATGTTAACTTAGCCTTCCCCATAGTCCTATTCTAGATCTTACACTAGCAGGAGTTCACTCCACCATAACCTGAATTTCAAGTATATCATTTTCCAAACACTACTTCCATATCTAGTTTTAAAAAATATTTTTAGTTATAGATTGATCTTTAGCATAAATATAATAAGAGATCTTTTTTAAAAAATGTTACTCAAATTACCTGTCATAAGTAGCAGTAGCTAACATTCTTCATTGATAGATTATCAACTCACCTGCAAGGCTAGCAAAGTTAGGGTCAATGTGTAAGGGATTCCAGTCTCCACTGAGGCGGTACAAAGCAGCCTGTGAAGAAAGAATCCTAAAAGTCACTAGTATTCATTTAAAATAGGAAATATGGGAGATCCAAGATGGCAGGCTAAAGGGAAGCAGCATTCTGTGTCGATCTGTGATTAAAGTAGTGGGAATACTGTTTCACTGGGAGTGATAGAGGACCCCCACAGCTGTACCAGCCCAGGAATCATGGCCACCGTGCAGCACAGGGCTCCAGGCCTCACTCAGCATCAGAGCCGAGCCCCCGACTACTTGCTCACGCAGGGCTCCCTGGTGCCCCAGTAGAACCACCAGCATCAGCATCTGGGCAGGACTCCTTACTATCTTTCTGTACAGGAATCCCAGATGCCAATCACACACAGGACCATCCAACTGCTACCCACACATAAAAACTCTAGCTGCCACTCCCTGGTGGACCCTCATCTACCAACATGGGGCTCCCCGGTATCCTCCACCTTGGAACTCTGAAAGGACTGCCATAGTCCCCTATGCACGGAAGCCTGCCTGCACCAGGAGACATAGCACAGGCTTTTAAAACACTGACAGCCACAATACTGCGTGCCACAGAGCTGAATCTCTGAACACATCATCACCCAATGACATCACCCGCTCCCTCAACCCGATCTGACTCCCCAACCCTGAAAGCAGCTGCCTCCATCTTGGGTCACCTTTGTTGCCACCTTTAGTTGGGGCAACTCCCAGTTTTGAACTCCAGCTGGGCAGGTACCTATAATCCCCCTTTCCCTGGAAGCCACTAACAGCACAGTGACTGCCCAATACAAAACAGCTCACCAAGACAGATGCTTAGCACCAACAAGACCTCAGGAGAGAAAGGTCTCCAGTTAGGAAGTAGAAAGGGAGAGGATGAGTGAGATACAATTTAGAAACTAGAGAGCAGGAACTGTGAGGCCTACAGGAGATATAACGAGATAAGACCAGATGCCCACATCACATAAGTGGACCCCAAAGGAGAACCTTGGGGTAAGGTGTCCCATAGGGGACAGGTAGATGCCATAACCCACTTCCAGGTGCCCTGCACCCAAGACCACCCCTCCCAACCTGGTAACCTTCACCATCCTGAGGGTGGAGATCCCAGCAAACCAGAGACAACCCCACCTATTGGATGAGGAAGGAAGCAGGAAAGATACTGATCTCTATCCCCACCCCCCAAATAAAAAATCCTTGTTTCTTCATTCGAGGTTTTTTTTTTTTCCTCTCTCCCTCTCTATTCTCCTGCCCTCATATCCCCAACACATGTGAAACCAAGTACTTTGCACAATTAGGATACTCAGGACTAGGATGTCTAATAGTATATTACAGTTGTGTTGTATAATCTCTTCTCCTATTTTACATTTTTTATTTTTCTTAATATTGATGTTTTGTATACTCTACTGTCTTCCCATTTACTTGTCTACCTAAAATCACTTCCTCTTCGCCTGCTACTAACCATCTTCTTTAGAGTCCTCTTTCATACTTCCTAAACTCTAATAACTAAATCCTTACCTCCTACCCCCTCCCCAAATCTCATCGTACACCTCATCCCTGGTTCTTTGTCCATCATCAGAAACTGTAAACCCTTTTGCAAACCTACAGTTTATATTAAAGATAATAATTGAACTCACCATTTCTGTATATTGTGACCAAGCTGTAAATATCTTAATAGCAACTACTAGGTTTAAGGTTATATAGTGTTTGTATTTGGGATCTGTTAACATTGTTCTTCCCCTCCTTAAAGGAGAGGCATGGGAACCCTGCAGGAGCACTATAAGCATATGGGGTAAAAATGATAACACCTTGAATCCACAGTGCTAGAAGGGAAGAGACATGAACAACATAAAAAACAAGGGAAGAAAGTGCACCAAAGAAACCAACATGCTACATTATTAGAGTCCATGGCCAGCACAGCAAAAGAAATGACTGAGGCGTTCAGAATGAACATAATTAAAATGTTCTGTGAATTAAAGGATGATATAAGAGAACAAATACAGGCAGTAAAAGATCTTTTCTACAAAGAGCTACATAAGCAAGCACAGAAATCAAAAGATTACTTTAATAAGAAGAAAAAGGTCCTGAAAAAAAAACACCAAACATAAATTCTTGAAATGAAAGAAACAATAAACCAAATTAAAAGTTCAAATGAAAGCATCACCAACAGAGTAGACCACTTGGAAGATAGGACCTCAGATAATGAAGACAAAATATATAAACTGAAAAGAATATAGACCACACTGTGAAGAAAATGGTAAGAAACCATGAGCAGAACATTCAAGAAATATGGAATAGCATAAAAAGACCAAATTAAAAGAGTTATTGTGACAGAGGAAAGCTTAGAGTTCCAAACAAAAGGAATGAACAATCTATTCAATGAAATAATATCAGAAAACTTTCCAAACATGAAGAATGAATTGGAAAACCAAATTTAAGAAGCCTACAAGATGCCAAATGTACAAAATCACAATAAATTCACATCAAGGCACATTATAATGAAAATGCCTAGCATAAAGGAGAGAATTATAAAAGTCACAAAAGAAAGGAATCAGATTACATATAGGAGGAAACCAATTAAATTATATGCAGATTTTTCAACCTAGACTCTAAAAATTGGAAGATCTTGGAACAACATTTATCAATCTCTGAAAGAAAATGGATGCCAACCAAGAATCTTATATCCAACAAAACTAGATTTGATGATGAAATAAAAGCCTTCCATGATAAACAAAAGATAAAATAATTTACAACTAGAAAGCCTGCCCTGCAGAACATCCTCAGCAAAACATTCCCTGAGGAGGAAATGAAAATCAGCAGAGGGAGGTATTATAATAAAGGAAAAACTAGTCAAAGGGGAAACCAAGTCAAACTAAATAAGAAAAATAAACAAAAATGGCTGGGAATACAAATCATGTCTCAATAATAACCCTGAATATTAATGGCCTAAACTCACCAATCAAAAGACAGAAACTGACAGATTGGATTTTTTAAAAAGACCCAACATTATGCTATCTCCAAGAGATTCATCTCAGAAAAAAACATCCACAGACTGAAGGTGAAAGATTGGGAAAAATCACACTACTCACATGGTCTGCGGAAATAAGTAGGGGTTTCTATCCTCACACCAAAAATTGAGACTTTAAGCTATGTTAACCAAAAAGGGATAAAGAAGGAGATTTCATACTGCTTAAGGGAACCATACACCAACAAGATATGACAATTATAAATACATATGCCCCAAGCAATGGAACATCTATGTTCATCAAAAAACTCTTCTCAAGTTCCAGAGTCAAACAGACCACAATATAATAATTCTGGGTGACTTTAACACACCTCTTCACCACTGGATGAATTATCCAAACAAAAGCTGAACAAAGAAACTATAGAACTCCATAATACAATCAATAACATATACTTGCCAGACATATATAGAATATTTCATCCATCAATGAGTGAATACACTTTCTTCTCAGTAGCACATGGATCTTTCTCTAAAGTAGACCATACATTATGCCACAAAGCAACTCTTAAAAAATACAAAAAAGTAGAGCTACTACCCCGAATTTTATCAGATCACAATGGAATGAAATTAGAAATCAATGACAAAATAAAAAATAAAAATTATTCCAATACCCGGAGACTAAATAACATGCTACTGAATGAACAATGGGTTGCAAAAGACATTAAGGAGGAGATTAAAATATTCTTAGAGGTAAATGAGAACAAGAACACAACATATCAAAATCTCTGGGACACTATGAAAGCAGTACTAAGGGGAAAGTTCATTGCATGGAGTTCATTCCTTAAAAGAAGAAAAAGTTAACAAATAAATAACCTTACATACATCTCAAAGCCAGAGAGAAAGAACAAATAAACACCAAAAGCAGAAGAGGGAAATAATTAAAATTAGAGCTAAAATCAATGAAATTGAAACAAAAGGAACAACTGAAAAAAATTGACAAAACAAAAAGTTGGTTCTTTGAAAAAAAATAAAATTGACAGACCCTTAGCTATGCTAATGAAGAGAAGGAGACAGAAAACTCAAATTACTAACATACATGAAGAAAAAGGTAACATCACAACAGACACTGCAAAAATACAGAAAATAATTAGAAATTATTTTGAAAATTTGTACTCCAATAAAATAGAAAATATCAAAAGCATCGACAAATTTCTTAAGTCATATCATTTGCCCAAATTGAATCGGGATGATATACACAATTTCAATGGACCAATAAAAGATGCCATCAGAACCCTACCAACCAAGAAAAGCCTAGGACCAGATGGATACACAGCCGACTTCTATAAGCCTTTAAGGAAAAACTAATACCAATATTCTTCAATTTATTTTAGGAAATAGAAAAAGAGGGAGCACTTCCAAACTCATTCTATGAGGCCAATATCACCTGATCCCAAAACTGGACAAAGACACATCAAAGAAAGAAAACTTCAGACCAATATCTCTAATGAACATACATGCAAAAACTTCTCAATAAAATCCTGGCAAACCAAAAACAAAAACATATCAAAAAGATAATGCACTACGATCAAGTGGGATTCATCCCAGGGATGCAAAGTTGGTTCAACATACAGAAATCAATAAATATAATTAATTCATCACACATCAATAGACTTAAAGATAAGAATCAATAAATGCAGAAAAGCATTCAACAAAATACAGCAATGCTTCAAATTCAAAACACTAGGAAAATTAGAGATAACAGGAACATAGCTCAACATCATAAAAGCTATCTATGCCAAGCCCCAGGCCAACATTATTCTAAATGGAGACAAATTGAAGGCATTCCTTCTAAAACCTGGAACAAGACAGGGATATCCTCTTTCACCACTTCTATTTAACATAGTTCTTAAAACACTGGCCAGAGCAATTAGACGAAAGAAATTAAAGGGATATGGATAGGAAAAGAAGAACTCAAATTAACACTATTTGCTGAGGATATGATTCTATACCCAAAAAATTCCACAAGAAAACTTCTAGAACTAGTAAATGAATTCAGCAAATT